AGATCACCTACCTTTGTCACTTACCCATGCAGTGGCAGGAACCTGGGTTTTCAGGCTTTTCTGAGGATCACAATTCTGATCCTTTGGCTCATTTAAAAAAGAGATCCACCGACCAGCCCACCGTCACTCAGCTCCCCACCGTGCGCTACAGCGAGGATCTAGTGCATCAGAGGGCCTATTAAAACCCAGGTTGCTCCCCTCCCCCCCGCCCCGCCCCCTGCTGCAGAGTTCCTGATTCAGTGAGTCAAGAACTTGCATGTCTATCAAACTGCAGGTGCTGCCGCTGCTGGGCGGGGACCACACATTGAGGAACCCTAGTCTAGTCTTTAGGGGCAGGGGCTCTGGGGCTGGGCTGCTGGGGTCCCCCGCTCTGCTGCCTTCTAGCTGTGCTGCCCTGGGCCACAGTCGCCTCTTCTGTAAAACCGGGGTAATCATAGTCACGACCTCGTTATCTATAGGTAACGTTACCTATAGGTAACCCTGGGGGTTGAGTGGGTTCACACATGTAAAAACTATGAGCCTGGCGCATAGTAAGTGCTCAATAAAATTTGCTATTATCAGTATAGCGACAAAAACACCATTTCCAGGTTTCATTCTGGGCTTACACTGGCTGTGTGACTTTGAGGACATGGTCCCACCTCAGTTTTCCCATCAGTGCTAGGAGAGTAATGGTAACTCACTTTACATTCCACACAGGATGGTCTGAGGACCAAATGGAATCTGTGTGCGTCCACTCTGTAAATGGTAAGCGCTGTGCAAACACTTGCAGCTAGATGTGGTGGGAAGAACATGACCTTGAAGTCAGAGAAACCTGGCCTGAAATGTCAGGTTAAGTGGGCAATCCTCTCCATCTTTCGAGCCTCGGGTTCCCCCTCTCTAAAATGAGGGAGATAACAGCGTGGGCCTCCAGGGAGCAGGGAAATGTCCTGAGGACCCCTTGCCTGAGGGCTGCACCTTACTCAGTGAGTGCCAGGGTCTGAGGATTTCACTTGAGGGTCAGCGCAGGTGCCTGGGCCTTGCCCAGCTCCCTCCCACCGATCTGCCATGGAGTGGCGGCCTAATGTGAGACCCCCTCCAGCCTGCAGCCTTGGCTGGCCCCCTCTCCAGACCCCGGAACTCCCAGTTCACAGGGCTGTAAGGAAGACCCAGCGAGAGAAAGGGTGGTGTGCTGCCCAGAGCCCATGCCGGGCAGGCCCTTGGGGAACACTCCTTTGGCAGAAGCCCTCACCGGCCCTCCTAGGCTGCCTCCAACATATTGCCTCTGGGAGCTATCAACTCTGGAAGTGAGAGCCTTGCAGCCCTAAGAGGTTTCAGGGCAATTTTATTCTCCAGGAGAGAGGTTGAACGGCCCCTCCTTCTCCGGGAGGGGAGGGGGGAACCAGAGGCCTGTTTAATTTAATTTAACGCACGGTGGCTTGCCAGGTTGCCCCTGGTAACAGCCTCAGCTGCTGCTTAAGTTACAACCAGAAGGATTTTTAAAGAGACAGCCCATTTTCAGGCCAGAATAGCCCAGCAGAGTGCATGGCATCCACCAGCTTCATCACGGGGATAGAGGATTAAAGCTCAAGCCAGGTGTGACCTCAGACTAGATCTGTTTGGGCCATTAACTCCACTCCAAATCTGCAACCCCATAAGCCCTCCTGAAAACGTCACTCTTAAGCAGAATCTGAAAGGGACTACGTTTGGGATTTGTCATAGCGATGTCACTCAGCTAGCTACTTTTCTGAAAATCTGTTTTAGCCGTCAAATTGAAGAGAACCAGGGGAGAGGAGTTGTCCCTGCAATTCAGGCATACCGCCACCAGGTGGTGGTATTGCCTGCATAGTGCAAACCACAACCAGGCTCTTGAATTACTCAAGGGTACCAACGGGTTTTAAGTCCTGATACTAACTAGCGTGCTACTGGGTAAGTTGCTTCACCTCTGTGGTCTCAGTATCCTCAGAGAAAGAATGCGAGTGATCAAGGAAACAGTGCTGAGGACAATGGTTGGAGCTAGGATTATGAAGGCATAAATTTAAGTGTCACCTCTGTCTGGTACTACCTGTGATCTGCGCACATAACTTACTTTCTTTGTGGCTTGAATGCCAAACAAGAGGAACAGGGAGAGCCCTGAGTATACCATGTAACTCTCCAACACCGGGGATCTGTGGAGGGGAGAAAGGTGCTTGGGACCCCACAGGGGATGTGAAGCCCTAATAGCACAGTGGGCGGGTGGGGGGAGGTGCGGTGGAGAGCAGGGTGAGCCAGGACCCCTCTGGACTCCAGAGAGGTCATTGCCCCAGAGGGAACTGGAATAAGTCCCCTGGACAGAGCAGCCTAACCCGCTCAGCTCTAACCCAAGCCAGGAGAAAGGGGTCCAACATTTATGGAGCGCATACTCTGGGCTGGGCACTGCCCCACAATGCCTGCGAGCTCTGTATTATCCACCTTTGCAGATAAGGACACAGCCTCCCAGAGGTAATTCACGCATCCGGGGTCGCCCACCTCATAGGGCCAGGCCTGTCGGCCACCTGAGCCTCTGCTCTTGCTCGTGGCCATACCTCCTTCTCAGAAGCCCAAATGAGGCAGCAGCTTCCCTTTCTCCCTACCAGGACTCAGTTTGGCCAACCTCAAAATGGGCATGGGGCCAGAGGTCATGAGATCATACCTCTAGACAGCCAGAAAGCCTGAGGCACTTAAGCTTCACTCCGTCACATGATCATACACTGACATTACGTCCCGGTTTTTGGCCAGCATGGCCCCCAGGAGTGGCCCCATGACTCTGGAGTCCCCCTTCCTATGTCCCAGGTGCCGTGTTGGTAGAACAGGTAAGGTTATCCAGCAGCGCATCCTAGCCTTTTGCTTTGACAAATGTTCCCCACTGAGCCCTCGAGGATGTCCTTCAACCCTTGGCAACTGCCGCCCTCCCCTCCGGACAGCCCTGTCCCCAGCTAAAGCCGCATACACGTATTCCCACCTAAGTGACAGGAGGACTCTCCAAGGTGCTGTGAATGTAAAAACACACTGGATCTGGGCACTGCCCTTTCCATGGCTCCCCACTGCCCTGCACATGAACCCCAGGGCCTGAGTCAGGCCCTCGGGGGCCCCTCCTGATATGCCCCTGTTGGCTCATCCTCCCGCCCCTTACAACACACCACACTCCCTCACCTCTGACTGAGCTTTGGCACACGATGTCCCTCTATCTGATGCCTTCTCTCATGGTGTCCGCCTGGGTGGTTCCTACTTGTCCTGGAGAAGCCTTCGCCAGCAAGTCCTCCTCTAGAAGCTCTGTGGGCACTCCTGTAACATGCAGGATACTTCCTCCCATAACCCATAGCGTTCCTTCCACTCGCACTGTGATATGATCTGGCTTTCGCACCAGACTGGGAGCTCCTAAAGGTGGGACCTGCCTTTCCTTTCCTATCCCCATTGTGCCCAGCTTGGGCCAAACAGAGAAGATACTTGGTGAATAGTGGCTAAGAAATGTGATTAGCGGGGCCTCCTCTGGGGGATCTGGCTTGCACCCTGGGTCAAGACCCTGCCTGGATGGGCAGTCACACCTCTCAGTGGGATTGGACTCACAGGACGCCCTTTCTCTCTTCTCCCTCCAAGCTCATCCACAGCCTCCTCAGAATGGCTACAATGTAACTTGCTGACACTTCCTCCCCCCCACGCCCCATTCACACACACCGCAGGCGTGCCACACGTCTCCACACTGAGCCCTCCATCTGGAATGCTCTTGACCCCCAGCCCACCCTCTGAAATACCACTGCTATTCAAGACTCATCTGACAGCCCATCCTCTGCAAGACCTCAGAGTCTTTTGGCTGGGAGTGGCCTCCCCAATCCTAGTGCATCTGTCCACATCACTCTCATGGCCTTGTTTGGACTCTGCCTCATAGGAATGTTATAGGCAAGCTGGTGTGCTAAGAGGAGCATGGGCTTTGGAGCCTAACAAAGGGAGCTTGAGTTCCGGCTCTGACACTTATATGCTGTGTGACCTTGGGCAAGGTCACTGAGGCTCACTGAGCCTCAATATGTTCATCTGTAAAAGGCAGATGAAACCTACCCAATAAGTTGTGGAGAGATTGAGAGGGTGGGTGTCAGGATCCTGGCACATGGCAGTCACCCAGTCAAGCTCTATTATTTATGCCTGGACCTGTTTTCCTAGCTAGGTTGTGAACCCATTTGGGCCAGGGTGCCGGTCCAATTCGGTGCCACGTCCCTAAGCACTCAGCACAGGGCCTCACACCACAGATGCCCAGAAATTCTGGCTGAACTGAATGCATTCACTCGGCTGCTGGGAGTCGGGGGGTTGATGGGGATCCTGAGCTGAGGAGGCCATGGTGGGTGGGGGGTGGTGAGCGCAGAATCCAGCCTGGAGATCCATGCCAGGAGACGAACGTGGAGGGAGGGAGCAGAGCCTGAAGCAGAGCTGCTGATATGCACTAGGGGTTTTATTGGTTTTCATTAAAATTCCTTCCCGAGGCAGCAGCAGCTACTCCCATAAATAACAGCATAAATATTTTATCTGGTGCCCAAGTCAGTCTAAATGCCTGGTGAGGTTGGCAAGAATAACAGTGGGAAAACCGTTCAGGGGGGGTCCTGGGCTGCAGCTGAACTCCATTAACAAGCCCGAAAGGGCTTTCTCAGGAAGGAGGAAGCTGAAGGGTGGCGCCAAAGGAGAGCAGCGAGTGGACAGTGGGGGAGAGAGAAGGTGACCAGGGGCTGGTGGGCCCTGGAATGGGGGGGGATCCAGAGCACAGGTTGGGGAGCCAGGCGGGAAGGGGAGCTTAGTTTGGAAAGCGAGATGGAGGGAAGAAATGTATTCCACTCCTGCTCCGTGATGGGCACCTTACTTAGGACATTCACACAGGTTGTCTCGTCAAACCTTGTGCAGTCAGAGAAATGAGGTGATTCGCCCAAGGTTACTCAGCCACAGTGGCAGATCCAGGACCATGATTAGAGGTGTATTTGCTGCTTCTCGGGGTTCAGGGCAAGTGCCATTCTCTGCTTTCCTAGATCCCAGTGGAGGAGAAAAGGGGCTGGTACTTCACCATGGCAACGCTCTTCATCAGGTCAGCCTGGGGAGCCCGGGACTGGACAGTGGGGAGGGTGATGTGTGGCCTGGGACCCGGGGAAGAGGTGGCTGAGTCCATTTCCGTGGTGAGGGCTCCCCAAGTTCCCCTCCATGCCACTGGCCTGGGGAGTACTCGCAGCACCCTAGGGACAGCTGGGAGGGGGTGCCAGGCACCCACATCCCCTTCTTGGCCACAGGCTAGATGGCATCTTCCTGGAAATGGGCAGCGAGGAGCAGAAGAGGCTGCCCGCCTTCAACCGCACGCTGGCCCTGCTCCGGCAAGTGCTCAAGTCCTCAGACCCCCACCACCAAGGTAGGGCCCCTGGCTCCCCCTTTACCTGTCACTAGCCCTGCCTGTCACTGTCATTGTCCCCACCTCTAGCATTGTCTTCCTTTTTGGGAGATCCTGTTGCTCTCTCTCTCACCCTCTGTCCCAGATACTCATTTGTTCATCTCACAGAACTCATGCACCTTGCACCTTGCTCAGTGATTTCATGCCACAGACCCTCCCTTCATCTTCCTGGGGGCTAACACCGTGCCTGGAGCTGGCCCCCTCCCTCTCTCCACCCTGCTGCTTCCTAGACACCCCTCTCCCACACTTCACCCCTAGCTCTGGCCTGGTGCTACCTCGGGATGCTGCTAGAGAGGAAGGACACCTTCTCCACCACCCCCATGGGTGTCCACGACTGCGGGTACTCGGGAACCGACCCCCTGGACTGCTTTGGCAAGGTACGTCCCCTGGCCACACCCACTCTCCAAACTGGGATGGAGCCTGACACCCCAGCCTCCTCTCCTGGAACCCGCTGCTTCTCTGGGTGGTGTCCCACCTCCGTTCCCCATCGTGTGCACCCCCCCCCCAGGGAAGTGCCCTGGCTTTCCCTCCTCTCTTCATTCAAGACAATGGTGAGGTGATGTTTGTCATTGTTCCTCTTTGCTTAAGAATCAGACCCTCCCCACGCCCAGTCCCGGAGCCCATCTCTCCAGCCTTATCTTCTAAGCTATTCGCCTTGTCTCAGATACACCCTCAGACTTCTCCCTTTCAGGTGTGGTTCTCACTGTCCTTCCCCACCCCCAGTGACATAGTGGAAAGAAGATGGGCTTAGGTGGGGTCTTGTGCCAGCTCTGCCCATGGGCCATGTGACCCTAAGCAAGTCACTTCCATCCCTGAGCCTCATTATGTGTTAATTATGTCGTTTGTCTACCTTCTAGGTCATTGAGAGACTCAAAGGCGGTAGTGGTTGAAACTGTTCACTGTAAACTGTAAAGTGCTGTTCAAGCCTTGTTCTTGGGCACCTCGTTTATGTGGTAGTTTCCACCCTTAGCTCAGTTTTGAAGTCTTTCTGGAGGCCAGGGACCCTGTGATATTCATTGACCTGTGCATTCAGCCCAGTGCCCTGCATGGGGCGCATCCCTAATGCTTGCTAGATTAATGAGCTATAGATTAATGAGCAAAGTCCTTGGTGAGAGATCTTAAAACAACAGAGGAGAAACGATGGCTCATAAGGATTCTGAGAGCTGTGTCCAACTTAACAAACACACTGCCTTCACCCTTCCTTGAGAACCTAACCTGTACCCGGCACAGAGAGGAGTCCCTACAGGAGTTCACTATTCCAGAGGCAGCAACCCACACAGGACAGGCAGTGGTCAGTAACAGTATAGAGGGGAAGTACTGCGGCCCCAGTAGAAACACTGCACTATGTACATATGGGGGAGGTAGAGGCTGATTCTGACCCTCCTTGCAACGGCCCCGGGAGACTGGGGGAGCATACCCTGGATGTGTCTGAGGAAGAGAGATCTGCCTTTGTATGGAGGGAGTCACTGGACGGGACACATGAACATGGTGGGGAGCATGGGAGTCGGGCTCTTGGGGGTTGAGTGCCAGTGAGCTGTACCCTAACATGTTAGGTTCCATGATACGGCCAGACTTACTGGCAGATGGATTTCGGGAATAAGAGCATGGCAGTGACATGGCTCTATCCAGAGATGGGAGACCTGCTGGTCAGGCAAATAACCAAAGAGTTTGCTCTTACCCTTCTCCCTTCCCTAGGCTATTGAGATAGCCAAGGACCAACCCCCCATCCTGAATCGCCTGGCCAAAATCTTCCACTTCCTAGGAAAGCAGGACATGGCCATTGGAACCTGCAACATGGCTCTAGATATCCTACGAGATCCGGAGCTCAACTGGCAGGCATACTGCACAAGGGCCAAGGTGAGTCAGCCTGCAGGCTCCGCCTCAACCTGCCATCAGAAATCAGAGAACAAGGGCCGGAGACTAAAACTGTGTTGCCAGAGCCCAAAGGTCATAGGGCCTTCATGGTGGAAAGGAGCTTGGGAGCCATCAAGACACAAGGTTTGTGTTCTATAAGGTTGTTGAGTGAAAGAATGAAGGAGACTCCCACCCACTGCAGGCACCCCTCTACAATGACCTGGTAAATGACCTCCAGCCTCTACTTGGTTAGCACTCAATACAGGCTTCACTGACCTGGGTTGAACTCTGGCCTCTCAACCGATTGCTGTATCTAAAACCCCATTCCCCAAACTGTAAGGTATGGATAATGACCTCTGCCTAGAATGCTCTTCTCCCTGATTGGCTTCCTTCCTCACTTCCTGGAGGTCTGGACGAAAACGAAGCTTCTAGCACCATCTTACTGACAATGTCAACCTCTCACCAACATTTTTTGTCCTTTTTCTTGGTTTACTTTTTCTTCTTAGTGCTTATTACTCCCCAACATACTATTTATTTATCATGCATATTGTCTTTCTCTCTCCCACACTAAAATATATGCTCCATGGGGGCAGGGAATTTTGTTTTGCTCTCTCCTGGGTGCCTGGAACAGTATTAGCACATAACAGGCTCTTGAGGAATATTTGTTGAATGAATGAATGAATGAACTGAGCACATACCATATGCTAGATCTTGGCTAGAATATGTTCTCTCAGTCGTCATGGGAACTCTCCAAGGAAGATACCAGTGTACTAATTTTTCAGATGTGGAAAATAAGGCTCACAGAGGTTGAACAACATCCTCCCCAGCTCACGGGCTAACACGAGGAGAGGGGAGGGGCTGGAATTCCGTCAAGTCCAACCGGCTCCAAAGCCAGAGTTCCCTCCTCCCCCACCTTACGTTGCTCTCTTAGAACTAGAGCCCACCAGGTTGGCTATAAAGCGTTAATACCTTCAGCAACAATGACCCCTTTTACCGACTTCCTCCTTCTCATGCCTCCCCTTCGGAACCTGTAGATTTTTTTTAAGGCTCCAAGTATGGGGGCAAAGGAGGGGTGAGGATGAAGGCAAGAGTCTGGGATCATTTGTAATTTGACGCTTCTAAGTTGGGGCCACCTTCCATTCTTTCCAAATTGCTTATGTGGACCCTCACAAAATCCGTGCTGCCGTCCTACCTGAAATGGCCCTCTCCCCCAGTCCCTTCTAGCCCATCACCCTGTTTAGTTTTTCATAGCCACTTGTCACCACTGCATGCCCAGTACCTAGCACTGGGCCTGGCATATGGTGGGTACCCAGTACATGTCTGTTGAATGAATGCGGGGCTCTTTACCCCCTCATTGTAGACAGGGAAACTAAGGCCCAGAAAAGGTGTCATCAGCACAGTTGGCACAGAACTAGGACCTAGGACTCTGGGTCCCAGTCTCAGGGGCCCTCTACTGCACCACAGAACTGCCCTGAGGTGCTGCTGAGAAAAAGACTGGCATCATTTAGGGCAGAAAGGAGGGCAGAGGTCCTTGCTTGGAGCATCGTCCCTGAGCTGACTGTCTGCGGCAGATCCACCTCAGAGCCTACCTGCACGACCTGGAGCGAGCCAAGATGGGGCTCGGGGGCATGCCTGACAGGAACCACCTGTCCTGCGCCAAGGCCGATCTGGAGGAAGTGGTCAAGGTGTGCCCAAGCCTCAAGACCTACCTGGACATCGGCCAGGTAAGGCAGCCTCTTGGCTTGAGCAGCCAACGGCTTACTAAAAACCTGTTTACTCTCTACCAAGGCAGGCCTGGGCACTGAGGACACAGGGAGAAATACAGCTACCCCCCCATCCCTGTCTGATACCGTACCCACCTCCTACAGCCATGGTGAGGATTATATGAGAAAACGCATATACAGCATTTAGAACAGGGCCGTGCTCTTTCTAAAGCACTCAGGAAGTGAGGGCCATTACTCTTTATCCAGAAGTGCCTTCTGGGCACAAGGAATGATTACCAAGAGGTGACAATATCATAATTTTCCATACGCGAAAACTGAGGCCCAGAGAGTGCCTCGCTCAAGCTGATACGGCCAAGAGTGGTGGGGCTGGAACTGGAATCGCTATTTCTTCTCCTTTTCCGGGGGCGGGAATTTGTGAAGCATTGTGGGAGGGAGGGTGGAATTTTTTTTTTTTTTTTTTAAAGCAAGTATGGGCGCGGAATGCCCAAGGAGAAAGGCTCACCCCGCCCTCCCCGCCCAGGTCTACTACTACATGGGTGTGGACGCCGTGCAGGAGCTGCTGGCGGTGGACGAGGCGGCGCTGAACCAGGCGCTGGTCTTCCTGGCCAAGGCCGGCGAGTCGGAGCTGGGCGCCACCTTGCCCGAGCTGCAGCTGCTGCGCGGCAAGTGCCTGCGCATCAAGGGCGAGGAGGCCAACGCGGCGGCCTGCTTCAAGCGCGCCGTGGAGCTGGACGACGCGGGCTCCAGCCACACCGAGGGCTTCGGCTGCCTGCTCGAGGCGCTGCTGGCGCAGTGGAGCCAGGCGCAGCTGAGCGACGCCGAGCTGGGCCGCGAGGTGGACGCGTGGCTGCGCCGCGCCCAGGGCAAGTACCCCGCGGCGCGCCTGTGCCAGGAGCTGCAGCGCGTGTGGCGCGGCCACACGGGCGAGGTGCTGGGGCTGGCCCGGGCCCTGGTGGCCCAGGGACGGCCGGCGCTGGTGCGGCTACTCTTTGAGACCATGGAGCAGGACGGCGACGTCGCAGGCGTGCCGCGGGGCCGCCGAGCCTTCTCTCTCTGAGGGGCGTCGAAGCCCCGCCCCGTCGAGGCCCCGCCCTACCTACAGCCGATTGGGCGCTCAAAACGGGCCTGCCCTGCCATAGGCTGGCGGGTGAGCGGAGCCAATTAGATTCTCTTCCGGGAATTGGGATGGGGCGGTTGAGACACGAGGGCAGGTTGGCCTGCCCGCAGAGCCACAAAGGCCCTGCTCGGGAGAGCCGCTGAGGTTGGGGCAGACGCGAGAGACCACCGGGAGACTGCCATCTAAAGCATCGAATTGTGCAGATATGCAGAAAAAGTAAAATGGATGCAAGATACATAAGATAGTTGTCTCCATTCTGGCGGCCTTTTAGTCCCCGTGCGCAATCCTCGAGGCCTGAGTTCCTGTCTTTGGATTGCCGTGAGCCACTCTCTACACTTATAATAAAGCCGCCTCTCCATAAATTGACCGGAGTGGGTCTCAGGTCCCGCAGCCAGAAAAACCACGCCAGAGCAGAGGGCAAAGCTGCACAGTGAGCAGGTAAGGGCAAGGCAATAGTCTACACCTGGCTGCTCGGGCCTTTAGCCTACCTGCCTAGCAGTCTCCAGCAGGCCTCATCTTTGGCCAGCTTGGTCTGAAATGCCCCCAAACTCTCTGACATAAAGCCCATCCAGTAGAATCTTTGCTTGATTTCTCTGTTCTTAGGAGAACCTAGGGTCTCCCACCCATCAGGAAGTGCAACCTGCACCAGGTCGTGGGCCTTCCACAAAAGCGTGAAGAAAGTCTTGGGCTCTTCCCCCTAAGCGGCCTGAGGTGACCTCTGAAAATGGTTCGCTATTCGCTTGACCCAGAAAACCCTACAAAATCATGTAAATCAAGAGGTTCAAATCTTTGTGTTCACTTTAAGAACACACGTGAAACTGCCCAGGCCATCAAGGATATGCATATCCAAAAAGCCACCAAGTAGCTGAAAGACGTCACTTTACAGAAGCAGTGTGTGCCATTCCGTCGCTGCAATGGTGGAGTTGGTAGGTGTGCCCAGGCCAAACAGTGGGGCTGGACACAGGGTCGGTGGCCCAAGAAGCATGCTGAATTTTTACTGCACATGCTTAAAAATGCAGAGAGTAATGCTGAACTTAAGGGTTTAGATGTTGATTCTCTGGTCATTGAGCACATCCAGGTGAACAAAGCCCCCAAGATGCGGCGTAGAACGTACAGGGCTCGTGGTCAGGTTAACCCATATATGAGCTCTCCTTGCCACATTGAGATGATCCTTACTGAAAAAGAGCAGATTGTTTCTAAACCAGAAGAGGAGGTTGCACAGAAGAAAAAGATATCCCAGAAGAAACTGAAGAAACAAAAACTTATGGCCCGGGAGTAAATTCTGCAGAATAAATGCAAAAAAAAAAAAAAAAAAAAAGTCTTGGAATTTTACACCCTTGGACTCATCATAGTCATAGAGTCTTGGATGTGGAACCTTCTTGTCAAAGACTTAGGCTCTGATTGCCAGTAAATCTTAGAATGGCCAAGCTGGATTCTTGTGGCCCTACCTACAAGATCCAGTTTAACCTAAAATTCCAGAAAAGGTCTTGCCAGACTCCGGGAATGCTGGTTGTTCATGACTGCAATGGCAGGACCCCCATAATGGTTTGTGATTTATTTTGCATTTTTTCCCTTTCTTTGGAGAGTTATACACATTGCTTTGCTCCTATCTCTGATCCTCAAACTTTACCAGGGAAAGGCCAGCACCCTGCATTGCTTCTCATGTCTCCAGTGACAGATGGAGAACAGACTGAGAAGTGCACTCCAATCCCCTGTGTAGATGAGAATCCTGGGACTCCGAGAAGGGAGGTGGCTTGCCCAGAGTCTCACCTCCTAGCCTCCCACCCCTGTACTTCAAACTTAGTGTCAGCACTTTGCAGGTTTGGAAAAATACTAATAAAGTGATTAACACTAAAGCATCAAGTGTTTACATGTTAAGGGTTTAAGCGTCACCTGTCACATGGGGGCACTCAGATTCATTAGGATAATGTTCTAACACCAGCAGTGAAATCTGTGACGTCTGGGCAGCGAGACCACCCCAGAGGCCCGAAATTCCACGTCGTGGTTCACCATGACTCCCTGCCGTGGGTGGTGACCGCTCCCTCCTTCCTTCCTCTTAGCCCCACTGCAGCAGAGTCCGGGAGCTGACTCCAGAGCAAGCAGCACACCCAGCCCTGTCCACCCCTCCCCCCACAGCTGTGACCTGTACCCTTCCCTAGGCCAGAAAACCAGCTCTTTCTTCTTTCTTCTCCTGCTTCCCCGAACAGACAAACTGAATTCAAGGCAGTTTGCTGGCAAAATTGGGAAGCTGGTGAAGTTTGTCTGTGTCCCCAGGCTTCCCAGTTTGCAGCTTTTCCTTACTTTTCCCAGTGCCAGGTTGTGTATTTCTCCCTTCATTGCCTCCGACTCCTGTTGAACCTTTCCAATAAACTTTCTTTCTGATAATCTCATCCATAACTAACTGTATAAATAACCAACATATACACACTAGAGCGTGGAGTATCTGCACACTGGCCAAAAGACGAAAAGGGAAAGGAAACCCCGTTTCCAGGACTGCCTCCTATGGGCAAGGCAATTCATACATGTAAGCTCACTAAATTCCTCACCAGCCCTGAGGAGTAGGCACTGTAATCCTCACTTTACAGGTGAGGACGTGGAGCCACTGAACAAGGTCACAGATAAATATGGAAAGGGCCAGGATTTGGACCAGACCTGCCCTGTTGTGTGCTGCCTCCTGGGACAAAGCCCTGCCTCAAAGATGTGTCATCTGTGGTCTAGAGTTAGGCCTGTGATCACCAACTCATCCCATCACTTTACCCCTGCTCCCTCCCCACCAGGTACTAGTCTCCCTGCCCAAATGGCCTTACCTCTGTGCCTTTGTATATCCTATCCCTCTGCTGCTCTTTTTCCTGTAATTTCTGTCCTAAGTGCTTGGCTCAAAGGTGCCTCCAACAGGGAATCTTGTCGAATCCTTCCAACTGTCACGAAGCACTCTCTTTTATGCGTGGATTGCTCTCAGGGCATTGCGCCCCACTGCATTACATTTATTCCCCTTGCCCTGGGTCATAAGTATCCCAACATGAGTGTTGCCCCCACTCAACTCTGGAATCTTTACGGCAGGAACCACATCTGATTCAGCCCCATGGCCCTGCACTGAGCTTGGCACACAGGATAGGCTCAGGTTTGTTGTTGAACTGAGGACACTCACAGCAGTGACGTGCTACCTCAGTCCCAAACAGGTGACTCCATCACCACCAGGTCCACAAGGGCTGGGGTTGGGGTCAGGTCTGTAGCCCAAAGACCTTGGAGGCCTAGAGCTCAACCAGAAAGCGTTGGCTTTCTCTCCACCTCCTCACCACCTCTGCCAGTTCCCCAATTCTGCGATTGGGAAACCAAGGCAAGAGAGCAGGACTTGGGCACGGTCGGGCGGCAAACTGATGACAGGTACACACTCGAACCCCACCTCCAGACTCCTAGGCCAGTGCTCTCTGCCCTTTCAGCGCTGCCTCCTCTGCCAAGTTTATTTCCGGTAAGTCCAGGAAGACTACAGGCTTTCCATTCATTCACTCAGCAAATACTTATCAGGCACTGGCCAAATGCCAAGCATAGTGCCAAGCTCTGGGGCTACAGTGGGGACCAAAATAGGCCCTTGCCTTCAGGGAGTTCACAGTGTAGATCAGGCAGAGCAGGTGATGCAGGGCCTTGTGGGCCACACTGGGGACTTTGGGAGACCAGTGGAAAGCTATCAAAGGTTTTAGCCGCAGGGCTGGCTACCCCTCCCCCTCTATACTAGCCACACTCATCCTGCGTTAGTGGCCTTTCCCCACACTCCCCCACCGGCCCTTGACTTCCCTCTTCCATGGCTCCCCCTGTTCAGCAAGTCACTGCTAAGGCCAGGTGTGGAAGCCCCCCAGGAGGAGGCTAGCGAGTGGGTGATCTTGATTTAATTACAGCTTTGAGCCGCGCAGAATGCCTCTGTCTGCTAGGTGGCTGGGAGGACAACTGTCTGTCATATTGCCGAAGCAGCAGGAGCTCCTTAGGGGAGCATTGCAGAGTAAAAGCCTTAATGACCCCATCATCGGAGTAATGAAGACGAATCCCACCTCATGCTGCCTGCCCACTTCTTCCTCTGGGTCTAGCAGCCAACATCAGGCAGCTAGAAACTCCCACTCAGCCAGCGTGAACAAAGCACATTAAAGATTGTGAAAACAGGTAAGATTTTTCAGTTACAGGTTTCTAGAATCTCAGTGTTGGAAAGAACATTCGCCGTCACCTTTTCCAGCTTCTCCATCTAGATCAGAACTCCTCTCATCAGTGAGTGTTCTCAAAGGAGTGTCTAAACCATGTGCATGCCCCTAGAAGACAGGCAACTCACTACCTATTGAGGGAATCATTCCATTTTTCCCCAGATCTCAAGTCTGCAGAGTGTGGCCCACTATTAAGTTGCAATCTTCTTTTCTGGGGCGCCTGGGTGGCTCAGTCGGTTAAGCGTCTGTCTGCCTTCGGCTCAGGTCATGATCCCGGGGTCCTGGGATGGAGCCCTGGGCCCTGCATTGGGCTCCCTGCTCAGTGGGGAGTCTGTTTTATTCTGCCTTTCCCCTGCTCGTACTCTCTCTCCATATCTCTGTCGCTGTCTCTCTCTCAAATAAATAAATAAAAAGAAAGGGGCGCCTGGGTGTCACAGTCAGTTAAGCGTCTGCCTTCGGCTTGGGTCATGATCCCGGGGTCCTGGGATTGAGCCCCATATCCGCTCCCTGCTCAGCGGGGAGCCTGCTTCTCCCTTTTCCCACCTCCCTGCTTGTGCTCTCTTTCCCTCCCTCTCTCTCTCTCAAATAAATAAATAAAATCTTGAAAGAAAGAAGAAGAGAAAGAGAAAGAAAGAAAGAAAGAAAAAGAGAAAAAGAAAGAGAAAGAAAGAAAGAAAGAAAAAGAAAAGAGAAAGAAAGAAAGAAATCTTTTCATTACTACTATCACTATCAAGTTCACCTTCGGGGCCACAAAGAACAGACCCTAATAAGCAAGGTGAACTTGAACAAGTCACTTTGCTCTGGCTACTCTGCCAACGGGCAGGCCAAGCTCTGACCCAGCCTGCAGTT